TTTGTGCTCGCGGATTTACCTCGTGCTGCCGGAGATCGTCTTACAGTTCTCCACGAGGAAAAGAAATTTCAGGAAGCATACGCTACGCGAAAGAATCTGAAATAAATTTCTCGAGCAATTTGTCTCACGCAATATAAGCACGTAGTTAGAGAGATCGTTATATTATTATTAAGCAATATTCAAGTTAATTAGGATTAGGACGACAATTTAAAAATTAAAGTCTAGCGTACTTTTCTCACATCATTTATATTAATACACGCAATCGTTAAACTCTTATCAATTTTGTGATATACAGAGTGATTCAAAATAACCTGATGTCCTTGCAATGCCATATTCTTGAGCGAATTCTGAGACGATTTTTCCTTTTACAAAATTTTGTCCGAAGCTTAGTTTTCGAGTTATAATTGAAAATAATTTGCTACTTACGAGTCCGATACAACGGACAGGCAGGGACGGTGCAATGCGTCATGAGACGACAGTAAACACTTGACAGTCTCATTATACATTGTGCGTCCCTGCCTGCCCATTGTATCGAACTCGTAAGTTGCTACCTATTTTCAATTATAACTCGAAAACTAAGCTTCGGACAAAATTTTGTAAAAGGAAAAATCGTCTCAGAATTCGCTCAAGAATATGGCATTGCAAGGACATCAGATTATTTTGAATCACCCTGTATATGTACATATATATAAGGGGATCATTACAATGTAGGAATGTTCGAAATACCTGCGATTCCAAAGCGATTCTCTGTCTGCACCCAAATAGAATGAATTATTTTTCCGGTTTTCATATTTCTTAGGGCTTTTTAGAAACTCTGGTCACCAAGATACATTAGTATACCAAACGACAGCGAAATCGGAGGGTTGACTCTTTCGGAATTCTACCCTATTTTTTTATATACATACTTATGATAAATAATTAGTATATAAAATAAAATAAATCAACATAGTCTTCTCGGCAGATAATTCATAAAGTTTTTCAATTAAAATTAATTAAAAAATCTAGATTGTTAAAAACATGTCATATTTCGAAGATGTTCAATATTTTAATATTTAATACGAACTCGAATGCACAAGTCCCCTTCCTTCGGTAATGCAAGTATGACGTTATGGTCCATATTATGGTTTTTATTGCAGCAAAATCACATCGTTGTAGTTAATTGCAGCGGAATTGCTAACGTCAGCATCATCGCGCGGTTCGCCGATCAGAGCTGTGCATTAACATGCTCGGGTGTGCCTCCCGCGCCCACTCTCGGCCTTGAGCCGAGAACCTGGATCGCTGGCAAGAGAACTAGAGAATCGCGGTCTCAATTGAGAGACATAGAGAGCAATGAAGGTGAAGAAGAAGAGAGGAGACGAAAACTGGAGAATAGAAACGAGAGGGATGAAAAAAACGGGACGAAAGAAGGAGATAGAGATAATTATAACTTTTGAAATATTTTATCGCAAGACATCAGTTCTGACGTAATATGCAAATACGATTCAATATTTCATCCTGTACCTATTGTATTTAAATCCTAGAAGAAAGTAATAAATAAAAATTTCTACGTCCATCGACAAATAATATATACAGGCAGTAAAGCCTCAAAAATTTCAAGCTATCAGAAATATGTATGAAAAAGTCACGATTCTAAAATGTAATCCTGATATTACTATTTAAGTGTGATTAAAATCGCACAATTATCGTACTAAAAATTCTAACTGTAATAATTTGTGCGAAAGTTTGATATGATCCACTATGAAAAGTCTATCTAAAAAAAGGTCAAATAAAATTAGTATTACATAGAATAACTCATCATTTTTTGCATAATTATTTCCAGAAACCAATGGTTGTTGAAAAAAAAATTCGAGATTAAAATTATTTTTTTCGCAAATTACATAAAGAAGGGTATTATATTCTAAAGGAAGTAAATCAATTTATTTCGCGGCAAGGAATAATCTTTTTTTATTAAATCATAAGAAAGATGAGGTTTAAATCGAACTGATTATGGAATAGTGTTTACTTTGTGTCTTTTCGATAAGAAGACAGATGAACAGGAAGACAGACCGGTCAGTTGGTCGGTCGGTCGGTCGATCGCTCGATTTGCTTCGTGTTCATCACAAAAGAGGTGAAACGAGATTCTAACTAGAAGAGAAGGTTGAGGTTTGAGTTCGAGGCCGGCTCTCTCACTTTCCCACAATTGTACCTACCTACTTACGCGTACCCGCAGAGATATATGTACATATTCTACGTGCGTCATATGCGTAATGTATGCTGGTAGAGCAGCGCTCGGAATTAGTTGCACATTTTGGGCCGATTCAGGAGACGACGCCTCCTGTTGTCCCACTACCACAATCCAGCACTTAGCTTGCTGCCCCATGACAGCTCCACTACTTCCCTATTTAATTCGACCGCCTACTAAATATCGAAACAAGCCTTACTAGACTTTATACTCCTACATATAAAAATTTGACTGAAAAAAGATCGAGGTGGCGGCCGAGCCGCCGATAGCTCTGGCTCAGGAGCGTTTTATGTAAGAAATAGGCTGAATTGTTTAGACATCTTTCAGGAAATCGTAACATTTTCTTCGCTACATAAATAATGTTTATTTTCATTAATAATT